TATGTAAAATCTAGAATACACGGTTTATTTGATTGTGATTTAAACATCTTTAAATTCAATTCCTCTCAACATCATGATATTGTTTCGTTGAAAATAATAGTTCCTAACAATTTGTTAAACTCTATAGTAAATAACTAGTTTTGGCTAGATGGTATCTTGGTAAAAGAGTTTGTATTCAGGGAACGTCGATTCCTAGAACTGTTAATATTCCACCTGATTCAAAAAACTGCATACTGCCTTTTCGGTGTTATATCGAAATGTTAGAGGTCGTATTACTAAATTGAGAAATGTTTTCCTTAAAAGTTTCTACAATGATTATAGAGTAATTATTTTTATCGAGACTTCGCTTAAACCTGATGCACTGGATACAGAGGTATTTTCTGATATTTATCAAGTTTTTAGAAATGATAGATCATCTAAAAAGGTGGAGGAGTTCTTATAGCAGTCCATAATATAATTGAATTTGTCTCTGGTAATACTATAATCTTAACATGTTCTTACATTTCACCTAATCATGTTAACATAATTGTAAAAGTTTCTTCGTTACTGAATAACAATTCTTCCTTAATCTGCATGGGAGATTTCCACCTTCCTGGTGTCGCTTGGATCCCGGGCGATAAAATATTGAATTATGTTCCCTCGACTTATCCATACAATTGGATGCTTTTTGGGATATGATTTTTGATGATGACGTATCGAATTCTAAAGAAAACCTATTAAATTTATGGGTTGATTATGGATAGCAACCAAACTCCAGTTGCGATGTCAACTGGCAACGCAACTGAAATAAAATTTAACATTAGATCTGTCTGTTTACTCGATATTTGGTAACAATTGTTACCAAATGTTACTAAATGTTGTCGGTTTACACAAAAATCCAGTAAAAGGGAGTCAAGTGGGAGAGCAAGTTTGACAGTTGAACAACAACAAACTTACTGGAGTTTACTTAAAGAATTTTATTCAGCAAGATTTTGCAAACCCAGGATTTTTTGATCAGCTGTTTTATGACCAAACACAAAAAGTATTCAAAACATTTTTTTTAATTGCAAAGTTCAATTTGAAGTTAAGTTGTATAAAAATTACAGAAAATGTTTCATTAAATTAGAAACTAATTCCTTATATATTATTATGCAAGTTCCAGATAGAGGGCAATGTATTGATGCAGGAAGCTTAAATATTCTCGGGAAATCAATTTTTCTTTAATTATTCATTATATTTTTAATATTAATCTAAGGTTTTCTTGAAACAGCTGTTTATTTGCTAAATCTTACTAAATGTTGTATGTTTACTTTTCTCAGTAAAAGAGCAAAAGAGACTAAAAACAGCTTACTCTCTGAACTAGAATTTACTGAATAAATTTACTGGAAAAGTAACCAGACACACCTATTATGAATATCAACTTTTCTCAGTTGCTGTCGATAATACTGTTTTGAAATTTTTACAACCAAAAACTAATTATATGTGATGGAACTATTTTTTGATGATGAAAATTATGTTCAAGGTGTGTCATTTATTAGAAGGCATTTAAGAGATAAATCTATTAGAATTACCATCAGTTTTGTGAGTAGATGCTGACGTTTAGAGAAATGTTCAATCAACTGCTCATATTAGCTTGAAGGCGTATTTCCGAAAAGTCTGACGGTCGACAGCAATTCCTCTTCTCTCAAAAATGTGTGCATCTCTGATGTTTTTTTGTGGAGGGAAGTTTTCAAAAGTCCCATAGCAATGACTTCAACCTTGACATGGTTCAACCGACAATGTCGGTGGTTTTCCTCGAAGTTATCCGGCTAATAGAGGAAAAACTGTGTAAAACTTTGATTGTATTCAAATTAACGGAGGAAAAAGGGAAGAATAATTTTTTTTTATTCGAAAACTAAGTTCCAGGGTGTTGTCGGATGTATTGATGATACAGACGTACATATCATGGACCCAAAAGAAGATGTTCGCCACTTTCTGCCATTTATTTGGAATGCCTGTTGGTGGGCCATAGCAGTTAAGGTCTTCTGAAATGGCCTTCCACACATCATCGATAGTGGTTTTGGTTTGACCAAAAGTCCGCACGCCGCGTGCTACATTTGGGTGAGCTTCCATCCGGGCAATAAGGACCTCAAATTGTTCTTTAGTAGTAATATTAACCATTATGGGAAGCCTACAAAGTTCAGTTATTATAAACAGCAACCAGAAATAAATGGTTTTTTAATGATTATCAGCCTTATTCTGGATATTCGCTGGGAGATATCTCGCATGTAAAAAAAAAATCGTTTTCACATTCTCGCCTTATTCTAAATGAATAAGGCGAGAATGTGAAATGAATGAGACGCAAAAAAATGCGAGATGCGGATTCGAGTTTTCGAAAATGGTGGTCGAAAAAAAAGATTTGTGTTGCCATATTGTAATTAAAGTTGTAATGTGTGTTACCGTATTGTAATTTAAGTTGCACTGTGTGTTGCCCCATTGTAATTTAATTGTGTAATATTTTTCAATATTTTATTTATTGATTTTTTTATTAAAAATGTTTACTTTTTATTGTTATTTAAACTTTATAACAATACAAATGTGAAATATAAAAAATCCGTTGTATAAAGGCTTTGTAATTAAAAGAAAATAAATTAAAGTTTAAAAATATGGCAACCTACAATATGGCATGTGAAACAGCTGTTCATTGTTTTGATGCAATTTGGTGCAACAACTACAATAGATTACAAATAAAAAAACATTTTTTTATGATGGCAAAAACACAACGAATAGTGGGAAAAAATCTGCGATTTAATTAATTAATTCACAGTTTATTATTTCACTACATAATTATGTGCCTCTTGATTTAATTTCCATATTTTATCTCCCCATATTCTTAAAGTGGGCAATTATGATTTGCTCCTACTTTATTTCTTACTTCAAATCATGCACACGATATTTTTTTTGAAAATTTATTTTTGTTCTTTCATAATTTTTATTTAAGTTTTTCCTCACCCAAAACGTCTGTATTTCGCATCCAAAATGCATCAAACTCGACATAAATATTCTTTATTACCTTTATACATTCCTTGGCAATATTTGGTTGAGCATGCATCGTTATCAATAGGATTTCCAATGGCATTTTATTTGTTGTTTTCCAGTTAAAAATTTGCTTACTATCGTTTATAATATTCTAAATTGTCATAGAATAAGTATTGTGTAAATATTTTTCATAAAAATATTTAATACGTATGTTTTTGTAGTCAGCTCCCCTTGAATTTATTAGCGAAAAATTTCGCATAAAATTTCATCTCCTCCCTACTCACTGTAATCCAGAATACCTAATTTTTCCCCAAAGCGGATTTTTTCGCTTTCGAACTTCATTCAGAATAAGGCGAAAGCGATAATGCGAAAAAATTCCCAGGAAAATGTTGTTAGGAATAAGTCGAAGGGGAAGAGCAGAGAGAGTAAATTCACGTGGAATTGACATCCAGAATAAGGCTGTATATTTGAAGCAACTGAAGTTGACAACAGTTGCCATCCATAATGCAAATTTGGCAACTGGCAACGCAACTTTCAAGGCCTATATAAGGTCGGGCAGTAAGGACAGCTGAGTATTAAGTTTGCTGTCAAATCACCCTGCAGTAATGGTAATCGACTGATGAATTCTTCGACTACCACAAAAATACATTGACAACTATCAAACTACATATTATTCTTTTGATTTGCGAATTATATATGGTGATGACCGCATTGGTGATGTCTCACCCTTTCAACTAACATTCATCACTAAAGATATCGACTAGCTGTCAAACTACCGACAATACTTTTGATCGGCGAATTTTATATGGCGATGGCCCCTTTGGTGATTAATTAACGATTTAACTACCATTCGTCGATAAATTCATCGGCAACATTCCGAGAGAGATTTCGTCCTTGACATCTAAGTTAAAAATACATCATTTATTTTTTAAAATCAAATTACAACCACTTTTAAGATAAAAGTCGTCTTATTTCTAAACAAAGGCAAAAAACGTAAAAAGTAGAATTAAGAAAAGCAAATATTATGACTTAGTCACGTAATCATGTAGTTGAAAATTTGACTTTTAAATTTTTAAGGTTGGAGACACTATTTTACAAATTACCACTGAGTGATGTAGTCGATGATAATTCATCGTCGATGTAGTCCAAGGCTCATATATAATGTTAACCGGCAGGCGAATTCATGCCTTATATAGGCCTTGGTAGCTTTGATGTAGTAATTCGCCGATGCGACTACCTAATATATGTACCTTGGGTCAAACAATTAATTAAAAAGAGAGAACAACGTCCGTCTGAATATGACATTACTTTAAATAGTGTTCGTTATTTCTCAGCATTGAATTTTAAAACTTTGGAATGGTGTTGTTTATTCGGTGTATACTTAAAAATAATCGAGTACAAATGTTATTCTAAACACATATGTATATGTTGTACTGAACATACATTTTATGCGTATATAATTCTATTATACATAATTATATATGTAGAGTAGTAGTAAACATATAAATTTGGTACATACAGAAGGCAACATTGGAATGACTTTGTCTTTTATACGTACATACATACTTCTTTTACAAAATAAATTAAATTAAAAAAAAAACCAACAATATTACAAAATTACATACAAACTCAGAAAATACATAAACATAAGCATATATAGACTCTATAATAGATACAAATAAATAGTAAATATGTATGATTAAAAATACTTTTGTTTTCATTCATTAGCACTTTTATGGAACCGAAAAGATTTCTTTGAGAAAATCCCATATATCGATTGTTACTGTCTTGTGAAGGACCTGGGAGAAGGAGTTTTGTATAGTTATCTTAAAAAATAATAGCACACTATGTGCTTAACAATAAGAAGCAGACAAATAATAAGAGATAACCTTAAATATATAGTTAATGGAATAAGGTGATTATAGTGCATGGAATGTGCTCTGTGGAATGTGCTTTGTGTGGAGATTGACTTATTTGGTTATTAAAGCATTTGATGGAGTCTTTCAGAGTTTGAGCAATTGCTTATTGGAGTTCTTATTATCTGGAATGACGTTTATGTTCTGACCGTAAGATGGGTTTTTCTTCTGGTGCAACACACTCGCGTTCACGTACACTGGAGCGGGCCGTGTTGTGATGGTTGGACTTGATGTTGTTGCTGCCTGCAGCGGCACCACAGTCGTAACCAATGGCTCCGTATGGGGAACAGGTGTCGCCACCTTCAGTGCTTGTGCTGCCTGTGTCTCCGCCGCCTCCTCCTCCTCGTCCTCTTCCTCCTCCTCCAAAATGATATCGCCGCCCACTAGGGCTATGCGATTGATCTCTTTGATCGGCCGTAGTGGTGCCGTATTGCTGTCATTGCGTTGTATGCCGCTGCTGTTGTTGTTGTTTTGGATGTCTGCAATCGGATGAAGGCTCACTGGAGCCATGGACTGTGGCGTCTCGTTTTTCACTGTCGCCCTGTTCACGCTCTCGATAGATGTTGGCACTGACACCGATGTTGGCACCGTCATTGTTGAGTCCATCATATTTGCTGTATTGTCGCTCGCCACCGAGCTTCTTTGGGATGGTGTCAATTCCATAGCTGGCACTTGGGCGGAGCTGCTGCAACTGGTATTTGGCGGGTCCGCTGCCGACATTTGCGAGACAATAGTGCGACTGTGGTTGTGGCTCAACCCGGTATCTTTCCATTTCTCTAAAACAAATGAGAGTGACTTAGATGTTTGCTCCATTACCATGGCAATAGTTTCACATACCTGCAGCACTGCTGCCACCACCGCCATTTGCACCAGCGCCATGTTTGCCGAAGGGCAATAGGCGTGACGGTTCGCACATGATCACAGTTTTGTACGCCTTACGATACTGCTTGTTCATGATCACGTAGATAATTGGATTAATGCAGGCCGACAGGTACAGCATAATATAACTGAGTATGTGTAAATTGGGGTGCTCAACATCCTGATCGGCCACCTTAGCAATTGTTATGGGCAAATAACAAACAACAAAACTCAAAAATATGGCCAACACCATCTTTGTGATGCGCCATTCATTGCGTTTGGCGCGCACCTCTCTCTGGTCCTTGATCCGGGTGGTTGGTTGTTTTTGTACAGATTCTTGTTTTACGTCTGTCGAAAAGACAGGGTATAACAAAAGCGGTGATAAACAGCGCCGTTTTACTACTGTGTCCATGGTCGTCTTCTCGAATCGAACAAGTTCCCAATTTGGGATCATAACCAAATGTACCCCAGGCTCCAACTAAAGTGGGCAACTGCATGCCGTACGAGAATACCCAACAGAAAACGATCATGGCAGCAATCCAGTGACGTTTATAGATTTTTCCATATGAGTTGTGATGGGCAATCATAACATATCTGGAAAAAAGGGGGGGGGTGGAGAATAATATTGGGTTATATGTTATATGTACATACATATATGAATATTTTGTGGCAATAACAATTTGAAACAAATTATTGTTGAATATGTGGTGAATAGATAATTTTTAATCTCAAAACTTATTGAGTAGATGCATATTATTCTGATAAACACAATTCTAAAATTGATCATTAAGAATTGAAAAATAAAATGCTAGTAGGGACTTTTAAAAAAGTTAAAATATTTCTATGAATAGCTGTGCCTG